AAAGTTTGTTAATTATTATAAACTCTTTGGTACAAATTTGGTTTTAATAGATAAAAAACCTTAACAATGCTTTTAGTTAATTATTTTATCTATTAAAATTGAATTTTATACTAAAGAGTTTACACTAACTAACACACTCTATTTAATCAATAAAATTTAATAATTATAGTTAGAGATAAAAATATGTTAAAAACTCGACAGGAGCTTATGACCTAACATACATCAAACTTAATTCAAGCCAAACTTTTTTTTTTACAAACTAGGATAGGTCAAAATTCTTATTAAAGGTTATATAATTAAAAAAAATTCTAGACCATTTGAAAAGCCAATTAGACTATCAAGTCAACTTATTTAAATAAAAAAATAAAAAGGTTTATTATTATATCAAATTTGTTATAATAAACTAAAATCATATATTTATTATTCTTTTTAAATATTAAGCATGTTAACTTAAGGGAAAAAAGTGTACGTTATAAATTTATTAAAAGCATAGGTTCTGTTTATGTCCTTTTTAAAATTCTTATTGTAAAATATATTTTTAAATAAATTAGCATTAAATTAAGCTTCTTGATTTAGTGGTTCTAAGATCTACTCTGAGACACAAGATATATTGATATGGTGCTTCCAGATTTGATTTCAGTTTTTGTTAAAATAATATTTGGTCAACAAAAATTATATTCTACGGATGTGATTAGTCTTTGATTATTAATTATAGTACATCATGTAGATCATGTTTATTAACAAAAAAAAAAAGTTATAATCATAATTTTTATATTAAGCCTTTAAAAATATGCTAATATCATATGATTAAGTTAGATTCATTTTTTATAAAATTTAGCATATTTACTTTGACTTTTATCTTGGAGTCAAATTATTACAAAATAAGCTTTAAACAAACTTGCAACTCAAGCTTTTATATATAAGTTAAGTCACACATTTAAAAAAGAATACTTAAGAGACATAAATAAGTCAGATTTAAGACAAATCTTAAACTAAAGCCAAGTTCAAACTTTATAAAGCCTAAATCATTCTACACTAGTTCTATACCTAATTTCAGTGTGCCTTGCTTGATATTAGCTAGGTTAATATATTAAACACTTTTTTCTTATAAATAATATTAGGATGTTTTCAGATAAACTTAAGCATGAACACTTATATGAATAAAGAAAACTAAGAAAAATAAAATAAGCTTTTCTTAAAGCTAAAATTAATTTATTTATAAGTTAATTTGTAAAATTTTCACTTGCATTAATTTCTCTAAAAGTTAATTTTAACTTATAAAAAAATTATTTTATTTTAATTTTTTTCTCCTACAAGTGTTTATGGAGTGGTTTTTGCAAACAAACATTAATTTCTTAGATACACTTTCTTCATTTTTTTTCAACTATAAGACTAAACTAGCAACAACTGATTTATGAATGATTAATATACTGTTTTGAATTTTGATTTCAATAAACTCATTAGAAATTAATTAAGGATCTTGCTAATCACTACTGTCATATAAGACTGTTGCGTGTAAAGATTTTATTAAAATTTACAACAAAGTTACATGAAAAGTGTGATGTTAGACTTTTCAATAAAAAAAAATACTTTTGATTTCTCAACCAGGTTATTGGTCAACATTTTTCATTAATTAATTATAACTGTATTGTACAACACAATGTTACTTTAATTACTTCTCAATTGAATTATTTTTAATCAACAAAAAATATTACAAAACAACAATAATGTTTAAACATATATAGGAACTCATATATATTATTTTAACCCTATACTAGCTTTAATGAATTTTCTCAATTGTATTAAGACTTGAGTTAAAATAAATTATAAACACTAAAAATAACAAAATATAACTAAAAGAAATGTTGAAATCCAATTAGTTTTAACCTTCACAAACCAAATGTTTTATAATTGTTTAGATAGACAACAATATATAGCCTCTTCAGTTATATACATTTATATATATATATA